CAGCAGTAAGTACGACACAAACTGACTGTAGCTCACACAAGAAATCTTGTGGACAACCAAGGTCATCATGAAACCAAGAAATAGGTAACAGGGAGCACTCTAACTATCATGGAAGCACCCCTGATTAGTCGCCTTTTACGACATACCTGATTTGTTCTACCCCCATCCCACACAGGGATACTAACATCCAGGTAAATAGGACCCCATTGATTTATGTGTCTGCTAAATTTGTATCTGTATTATACTTATTATATTTATAATAACTTATACTAGCTGCCAAGCGGAGAAACAAACCCGCATTCACAGCACAACAGCCCGGTGTGTAACCACTATGCCAGGCTTTAGCGAAAGAAGGGAAGTAGGCGCTTGAAGTAAAAGATATGAAAAGAATTCGCGACATTTGCTGCAACAAGCACTTATTTCCCACGTTAAAATCAGAAACCTATTTCACACAACTAAGTCTTTCCTTGTAGAGATGCAGCTGTTGACAACTTAATGCCATAAAGACAGCGGGGTTTCCTTTGGGGTACGACCCCAACTCGGACAATACAATGGGCTGTGTATTCCTTTCATACTTGGAACGAGTATTTCTTTCTCCCAGGCTTGGCACTGGTTCACGCTGTGTCCTCAGCGCCTAGGCTCTCTTTGACTACACGCCAGCCCCCGAGTGTGTAACAGCAACAGTCGAACGCTGATTTGGCTCGCCAGGACGCTCTGATGGGGCAGCGATGGTGGAGTAATAGAAAGACACAATTCCAGGATGTATAAACAACTGAAGTGATATGTGTTCGGTTCTAGGAATGTGTAGACCGCGTTTCTGTGTGGTTTTGAGTGCGTTTTCTAGCCCGCAGTAATCGGATTATCCAGTTGGAATGCTATAATCTGACAGTTTGAGTGGTCTGGCCTGAGCAAACGTGTTCTTTTTGGATGAGTCAGTGTTTGTTGATTTTTGCCAGTGAAACCAACCAACACATAGGCTTCTTTGGAGTGCATTCTGCTGTGACCGTCTCTTCTCAGGCATGTAGAATTCTGCCGAGCCTAGCTTTGCACTGCCGTCGTTTTTGTGTAGGTACAGTGTAAAATATAAAGTATTGATGTTTTGTGGGTACAGTGTAAAATGAAAATTAATAATGTTGTGTAGGTACAGGGTAAAATATAAAGTATTGATGTTGTGTAGGTACAGTATTAACTATTGCTGTTGTGTGGTACAGTATAAACTATTAATGTTGTGTGGGTACAGTATAAAATATAAACTTTTGATGTTTTGTGAGTACAGTATAAACTTTTAAGGTTGTGTAGGTACAGTATAAAATATAAACTATTGATGTTGTGTGAGTACAGTATAAAGTATGAACTATTAATCTTGTGTGGGTACAGTATAAAGTATGAACTATTAATGTTGTGTGAGTACAGTATAAAGTACGAACTATTAATGTTGTGTGGGTACAGTATAAACTGTTGATGTTGTGTGGGTACACTGTAAAGTATTGATGTTGTGTGGGTACAGTGTAAAGTATTGATGTTATGTGGGTATAGTTACTGTTGTTACAGTTCAGACGTGGAAGCAGCCCCCCCCCCCCTTTTTTCCAGTTTTTCGTGTGTAGAAAGACCGATTTCTTTAGTTGCATTGGTGTATCAGTCAAAGACACATAGATCATCCAGACAAAATATTATTACAGAGCACAATCTATAGCTAGCACTGAGGATATTTACACACACACACACACATATATTTATGTGTGTGTGTGTCATGCTGTTATTATATATAACTTAACTTTTTTTATTTTTTATTGGTGGGTTCTGTCATTTTTAAATTAATCCGGACATAGTCAACTTTGCTGTCAAGTTTTGCTCTCGTCGATAAAATTAATCCGGACATAGACGACTTTGGTGTCAGGTTTTGCTCTCGTCGATTTCTTTTTCTCCAACTCTGCTCTTTTTTCTTCCTTCTAAAGGATTACAGATTTTGTTGACGTAGAATTGGATATTGCAGCTAATGTGACGAGTTGACACTTCAGATGGAGTTCGTGGAATTATCGCTGCTTCAAATAGACAAATAGCAGTCTGAGAGAGTCTGCAACCGACACCAGAGACAAGAGAATAGGACGTGCAAGCTGTAATACAATTCATAATCGTCTGTCTTCTACTTTGCGTTCACCGGCTGGAAACTCCGGCAGAAAGTTCTGGTTGTTCATCCACTTTTCCACTCTAGTCTCGTTCCAGAACCAGACGTGTGCACAGTTCTGGTTTACTTTTATGCAGGCTGTTGGTTCCTCGCTTCTCAGGCTGATGCACTTCACATCCCTAATTAGTACGCATACTACATGCTTGTAGGGGGAAGTAGGTCTATTCTGCCTTCCCCTCCCCGTCATAATAGGGCCCAGGAACCCACATGGGCAACTAGCGACCCAGCTGCTACCGAGGCTTTGTCAACATGTCGTGAACACAGATGTCAACACGTGTGTCGTGAACACAGATGTCAACACGTGTGTCGTGAACACAGATGTCAACACGTGTGTCGTGAACACAGATGTCAACACGTGTGTCGTGAACACAGATGTCAACATGGTGTTGTGCACACAAATGCCAACAAGTGTGTCGTGCACACGCATGTCAACATGGTGTCGTGAACACAGATGTCAACACGTGTGTCGTGCACACAGATGTCGACACGTGTGTCGTGCACACGGATGTCAACACGTGTGTCGTGCACACGGATGTCAACATGGTGTCGTGCACACAAATGCCAACACGTGTTTCGTGCACACGGATGTCAGCATGTGTGTCGTGCCCACAGATGTCCCCTGTTTCACGCAACTGGTCCGACAAGATAAGACCGCAGATTCACTACCATATCATTGTGTGAATTTCTGGTCTCATACACACGTTTTCTGCACGTTTCTGTCAAGCTCTGTGACATTGCCTTTTCTCTAGTTAATCTACATTGATCGGTTAAGGAGCTTTTGTTTATATAGAGGTCCTCGGTGAAGATAGGACTGGGCCTTCTGATGACTGTTCGCATACCTTCTTATTTCTCTGCATTCCTCTCATGGTCAGACCGACTCCAGGTGGTTTTCATTCCTTTCATATCCGTCATTGGGATGGCATCATGAATAACTTTAAGATGCCAGCGTAGTGCTAATATCTTGCACGAGAGAGAGAGAGAGAAAGAGTGAGCGCGAGAGTGACTGTCGTGAACCTACCTCCTTGTCGTCGGTACTCCCGAATAAAATATGACAGCACGCTGATCAATGAAGGTCGTCTAGTAGAAGAGCAGTGTGGTCAGTCTGAAGGTGGCTCTAGGAAATCTAATCGATGCGGGGCAACTTCTGTCTGCGTGCTGACTCACACAAGAGGCGGGAAATATTCGCAGGCTTCCCCGAGGCTTCGAGGTGAATTGGCAGCATTTCTCTTATGGAAGCGCACATGACGCTGGAGACATGACGTTGTTATCATTCTGTTGAAACTACGCGTTGTCGGGAGAGCTGATACCACAGAATGGCCAGATTGACGCAACTCCAGCAGATTATAATACATGAACACTGTTGAGAAATACGTTTGCTGTACATGTAATAAACAAATAAATATGTATTTATTGGCACTCATAGAAGGTTGTAAAAAAATAAATGGACACACTAGGCAACATGACAATCACCGAAAGCTACAGGCTGCCGGTTGTTCTGCTGGAGGTTTACGGCCAGAAAGGGTGATAAAAGGCGATGTTTTCTTTGATAGCAACAGCACACATTTGTATCAACCAGTCTCCGTGGTTAGCCTAAACGCGCGCGCGTGTGTGTGTGTGTATTGTATGCTGCTGCTTCTTGTCATCTGCAGGCTGTTAACACCACGTAAAGTTTTGGATATTCGTCCACTTCTAGATTTTGGTCTTGTTCCGCAACTTTACGGAGCTGGCATATTTGCATGCAGACTGTTGGTATTGGTAATTAGTTGTCTCCTATGACATGCATGTCAGGAGGCTATGGTTCTATTGTCTCCCCCTCCCCTAAACAAGGATCCCGGAACCTAGATAGGGAACTGAGTATATGATGCCAAACTTATCGTATGTCAATGGTACATGCATAATCTTTTATCGTATGTCAATGGTACATGCATAATCTTTTATCGTATGTCAATGGTACATGCATAATCTTTTATCGTATGTCAATGGTACATGCATAATCTTTTATCGTATGTCAATGGTACATGCATAATCTTTTATCGTATGTCAATGGTACATGCATAATCTTTTATCGTATGTCAATGGTACATGCATAATCTTTTATCGTATGTCAATGGTACATGCATAATCTTTTATCGTATGTCAATGGTACATGCATAATCTTTTATCGTATGTCAATGGTACATGCATAATCTTTTATCGTATGTCAATGGTACATGCATAATCTTTTATCGTATGTCAATGGTACATGCATAATCTTTTATCGTATGTCAATGGTACATGCATAATCTTTTATCATATGTCAATGGTACATGCATAATCTTTTATCGTATGTCAATGGTACATGCATAATCTTTTATCGTATGTCAATGGTACATGCATAATCTTTTATCGTATGTCAATGGTACATGCATAATCTTTTATCGTATGTCAATGGTACATGCATAATCTTTTATCGTATGTCAATGGTACATGCATAATCTTTTATCGTATGTCAATGGTACATGCATAATCTTTTATCGTATGTCAATGGTACATGCATAATCTTTTATCAGTTGTTGTAAACATTCCCTTTCTGTTAGTAATTCGCTTACTCATATTTTTTTTTTAAATCTGTCTACCTCTAAATACGTATCCTGAAGTGTGTAATCTTTCATGGCATTTTAATTTCTTGACTATTTCCAGGCAACTACAAGGTAAAGGTAGCCAGTGAACCCCTGTAGCATTGCCGATGAGTTACCCAGACATCTGGATGTAGCTAGGTCTGGTGAGGTCACTCGTGGTCCTGCTGCCTCGCCAGGGGCACCACATGGCCCACAACATGAGCAGCAACAACGTCGCACATATCTCCTCAGTGGATAAAGGCTTAAAAATGAAAATTAAACGTACCAAAATACCAAACAAGCTGGATTCTAAACACGAAGTTGTGAAAACAGCTGTCTCGGTGGCAACCTCAGGGGTATTACTAAATACAGTGTCTGCTACAGCATCTTCAGTATCAAAGCCTTCCTTGGGTGGTATGATATCGACTGTGGCAACAAGCAGGACTTCTGTCAGCCTAGGCTCAAACACAATTGCAGCATCAGTTACGGCAACTTTATCAATCCCTTCATCAACTTCGTTAACGTTCTCGTTATCATCAATGTCTTCATCCTCTTCGGTGTCATTTGCATCAACCTCATTAACATCAGGTATTGCCAGCACGTCGCTGGTAACTATGGCAGTGACCAACCCAACTGTGGCACTGCTGAAGGCTGCCAGTGTTGCAGTCACATCAGATGCCAGCTCAGCTGCTGGAAAATCCCCAGCAAAAACTCTGCCCCCTGGAGCAGTGGGCTGTGATTCAAGAGATGGAAAGTCACCAAAAACAAAGGCAGCATACAGCAAAAAAGTTAAGGACAATAAAATGAAACCTGACATTCCTGTTTCTGTGGGCTCACTTATGAATGCAGGTGGGAACAGCCAGACAGTTGTGGATGGTCTAACTTGTGTCCCAGTGGTTGTTTGCACGCAGACATATAATGCTCTTCCTGCCCCACAGCAACCACCACACACTTCATTCCCTGGAGTAACAAACTGCATGTTGACCTGTGAACCTCGACCAGGGGATACTGTTCACATGAAGAAGGACAATCCTGTCCATGACCCTTATGAGTTCAATGCCAAGGTGGAAGATAAAATTGAACTGCCTCCTAAAAAGCTCAAATTGGAAAAGGTAAGAAAAAAATTATTCCATAATTTTCTTTGTATTTAACTTTTTTTTCGTACATTGAGTGGCCTTGAAACAGGGCAGACCTGCTTCCGGTTTGTTTCCCAGTACACACTCACGCACACACACAAACACATATATAGTCTGTTCTTCTATAACAGCTTGGTGAAGTTTTATGTACACTGGACATTCTACATCTTGAAACATGAGTTCAAATCCACAATATGGCAAATCACTTTTAAATTTGAATTAGAAATAGTATATGCAAGCAGAAAGTTGAACGAGAACACAGTTGCACATTGCAGAATGGATATGTGGCTAGAAAGACTTCCTCGGTAGACACAATTTTAAAAAAAATGGTTACTTAATTGGTTTTGACACCCAGAGTGGTAGATGAGGAAGTGAAGAATAATACTTTTAAATCGCAGCGTTGATTCTGTCATCTTAAAACTGCACAGTTCCACTTGTCCGCTTTTGTTGATTTAATGCCTTTAGGCGTGTTTGGTATATAGGGCTAGACCTATATTTTTATAGACCAATAGGCACTTGGTGGGTGACGTGGTCAGCATCACTCCGGCCGCCTTTACATCCCAGGACTGCACCTGGTGCCCACTCAAGGCTGGGAGGCAAAGTCTGGCTCCGTCAGCACCCGAACCCACGACCTTCCGATCCGCTGGCGAGCATCTAGCCGACAACGCCACCGTGACTCCCTGCTGGATGGTAAATAAATACAGTAATATTGAGTGTACCAGTATGAAAAAGAACTTAATGGTGGTAGGACTTGATGTAACGCCACTCTCATCCGTCCCAAAAAATGTGGGTTGTCTTGCTAAGTTTTTTGAAAAACCCAGCTAAGTTGACCACAAACCCAAGCAATAGATAGGTAAAGAACCAAATTTTTTGTGTGTAAAAACCTATATTGTTGAAAAGTACAAATTTTATAGTTACGAAACGAAACATTCACCCAATTTTATAAAAGAATATATTTTTAATAAAACGCAGATTTCAAAATTTGAACCCAAGGCGTCAAATAAAAACCCAGATCTGGGGGTAAAAACCCATCTGCCAGCAGCCATGTTCCTGTTGTCATGTCTGCGTGCGACTGCCACCGTCAGACCCGCACACCTGGCCTGTCAATCATTGCTACGTCGGTACCAGGTCGCCGGCGGTGTGTGTGTGTGTGTGAATCACTGGCGGGCAGCATCAGCTGACAGCTGCAACTGGTGTCAGTCAAACAGTCAGCCGATCATCTCAGACTGGTTCTTAAACTAATCTTGGGCCATTTTTTCGTCAATATTTCGGGCCCTTGAGGTTCATTGCTGCAGAGATCACCAACCTCTGTTCTTCTCTGTTGGTTGGCTTTCTGTTGAATTAAGAATTGACTCGGGGCACTCTGATAAGCGCCCCGTCACCATCTTCAGCAGCAAGCGAAGAATTCCATTTCCGATGGCACCAGTCACTGACTGATTGTATATCTGTCTGGCCTTTCCCTGGAGCATCGGTCAGCGGATTGGTTTTCTCGGCTCTACAATTTCAGAATTAGTACAATCATATTAGACAGAAGAAGTATGTCAGAAATTAAGAGCACAATAGGCCAGGTTAAGCGTGCATTTCACAGAATTAACATCTTCGATGTCTGAATGGGAGTACTTAAAGGTGTTGTAGAACCTATATTGCTGTATGGTAGTGAATCATGGAATGTGAATGCACAGATTAGAAAGACCTTGGAGGCAACGGAGATGTGGTTTTTCAGACAAATGTTAAGAATCCCTTGGACTGATAGAGTAACTAACAAGGATTACTTGAAGGAAGATCATGAAAGAAGATCAGTATATGCAGTTATAAGGAAAAGTCAAGCACCCCTTTCCGTTCTACTTCTGACTCAAGCCTGAATCTGAAGAATCTCAGCGCAGTGCACGAACTCCGTAGCACTGGCGAGGAGAATCAAATAGTTTTTTTAACTCCAAATTTTCCCTGGGCAGCACCGTTAGGCTATTCTTTTTCGATTTCCTGCTAATGGATTTTTTTTTAAAACGTGCGCCACAATACACACGGGTGTCCGATCTTACTACCCAGTGACAGGGGGGAAATTACTAGAAGTCCACGTGAATCCCAGCCTTCAACATAGACTGAACCCGGGACCTCCAGCACTCTAGGCGGACGCCATGCCTTGAGACCACTCAGCCGGCCAGATAGCATCTGTGTAGCAGCACTTTGGTAGTACGGTTGCCATGGGGCTACTACGCGCCCGTCTGTTTGGATTAGACAAAATGCACTTCATTCTGGGTATGGATTTAAACAGAAAGGAATGGGGGTCAAACCCGAAACTAGGGTACTGAGTAGAAAATCCAATCTTTATCCTGTATCGATAAGGACTAAGCACTAAAAGTACAGGCATACTAGGTTCCAAATCATTGCGCACAAGAAAATATAACAGGGCAGACCAAATAGCCCCCCTTGCCCCCACCCCTGCTGTGCTAAATTGTGTTTGTCCATCGTTTTCTTGGATGTTCTTATATACGCGTATATTTTTTGTTTATTGCGCACTCGAAGCGGTAGTTGCTCCAGGTTCATTCTCTTTATACATCCAAGCCTCTACACCCAAGCCTCTACGCCCAAGCCTCTACACCCGAGCCTCTACACCCAAGCCTCTACACCCAAGCCTCTACATCCAAGCCTCTACATCCAAGCCTCTACATCCAAACCTCTACACTCAAGCCTCTACATCCAAACCTCTACACCCGAGCCTCTACACCCAAACCTCTACATCCAAGCCTCTACATCCAAACCTCTACATCCAAACCTCTACACCCGAGCCTCTACACCCAAACCTCTACATCCAAGCCTCTACACCCAAACCTCTACACCCGAGCCTCTACATCCAAACCTCTACACCCGAGCCTCTACATCCAAGCCTCTACACCCAAACCTCTACACCCGAGCCTCTACATCCAAGCCTCTACACCCAAACCTCTACACCCGAGCCTCTACATCTAAGCCTCTACATCCAAACCTCTACACCGAAGCCTCTGTACTTGCTGACTGTCTGCGACTTATATGTTACAAGTGTTACATTTCTATTCTGTCTCCGGAAAACACCGGCAGTGTTTCTAAACTATTGGACTCCACCAAGTGTTCTCACGCCAGATGTTCAACAGGACCAAACTATGCATTGATAACATTATTTGTAAAGACGGCGATGGGAACGAGAATTATTATGCCAGTGTTTGTCCACCTTGAAGCAGTCGCTGTGACTGTCACTTCTACCTTCATACAATAATATACGGTCATCTGCGATCCATACTCGGGCTGTATGCTGTTTCTGTTCTCGGGTTGTTGTCTCATTGTTGATCAAGCTTGTTATGGTAACGCGCTGCTATTTATTTGAGATTTATGCTAGTTGTCTTGTTGGTCTATTGAATCGACAAAGTCCCAACAATGGAAATACCAGGTGTGTGTTTTGCCGAAATTATAGTGTGTAGGGCTCCGAGATTTCGTACGGAATTCCCGGGAAAGTCCAATATTAAAGGGGGGCTGATGGTTAGTGTTAATCTGTTTCACTTCTCACCCTGACACTCCTATACTATTGGATTTTCCCGGAAATCCCCTACGAAATCTCAGAACCCCCAAGATTGGGTGAATTAAAAAAATATCCTTTTCTTTGTCTTGATTTTTTTTTTTTTTTTTGCGATTGTAATATTTCAGAAAAGTTAATATTTTGTGGTGGGCCCTAAAAAAGGCTGACCGGAGCCTAGAACACTGACAGCTCGAATAAATTCATGTCGCATTTCAAGTCGAAGAAATCTATATATAATATACGCAACGTCTCCGGCCGCTGCTCACAACAACGTGTAACACACAACACAGAAAGCTTTGTGAAGAAGACAATACAACGTGACACTCCCGTAACTTAGACTAGCTTGAGTAAGCATGAATGAAAGGTCAACCACTGAGTAGTTGGCCCCGACTTCGTAAAAAGAACCCACCATACAGTACTACACAACACAGCACCCTTCCATACAACATAACACCAGTTCACACATCACAGTACCACACAGCACAGCACCCTACCATACAACATAACAGCAGTTCACACATCACAGTACCACACAACACGACACCCTACCATACAACATAACACCAGCTCACACAACACAGCACCCTACCATCCAACATAACACAAGTTTACACATCACAGTACCACACAACACGACACCCTACCAAACAACATAACACCAGTTCACACATCACAGTACCACACAGCATCCTACCATACAACATAACATCAGTTCACACATCACAGTACCACCCAACACGACACCCTAGCATACAACATAACACCAGTTCACACATCACAGTACCACACAACACGACACCCTACCAAACAACATAACACCAGTTCACACATCACAGTACCGCACAGCACCCTACCATACAACATAACACCATTTCACACATCACAGTACCACACAACACGACACCCTACCATACAACATAACACCATTTCACACATCACCACACATGACGACACCAGTCCACACTGCATCATACCACACTACACCATACAACAGCACACACCACCATACAATAGCACACTACACCATAAATAGAACACCACACAGGACCCTACCACACAGTACAGGGCGACACAGCACAAAACTAAGTCAAGACAAGATGTTAGCTGTGAAATAAGAGACTATCGCAGACCAACTTCACTTGATGTAACTTTCCTTCGGTCACTAGCGGAAGTCATTAAACATAACTGTACACATACTTGTTGAGGAAAACTTGATTATTTTTAGCTTCAGTCAGAACCCTCTTCCCTCTGTTGACGCAAACTTAAGAAACCATCGCCAGTTTATCAGGCAGAAGTCTGTTTGTTACCCCAGTGATGTTTATGTTGAGTTGTCGAACGCCTAGCCGCTCTCTGCCAGCCTTGGGTGTGGGGGCGGCCATGGCTCAGTGGGCTATTTCTGGCCAGGATTTCACACAACTACAGATCAATA